GATAAAATTACCGTTTTTCATGGTAAATACATTTCTGTTTAAAAAAACTACATAATTTTGATAGTAAAACTAAATTACACGATATTTAAAACATTTATTTGGTAATTCTTTCCTTTATATGGTAACGATTTACAGAAAATTCCAGTTTTCTGAATTATAGTTCTTAATACCACACATTTAGAAGAAATATAATACTTAAAAGTAAATTTAATCGAGTAAATAATTTTAATGTCATGTTCTAAGGTATCAGAAAATTACTACATATTACCACTTTTACCAAATTTGAACACGTATTATAGAACTATATTTCATTGTTAATTTTATCAAATTCATTACCAGAATCACCGTGTTTTTGGTTTCACCCATGAATTCAAAAACATGGTAAATTTTACCACATTCTGATAGTTTCGATCATAATTTTTTTATAGTGTAGAAGATTTCATATAAGAGTTTTATGATTGCGCTTTTAAGGGTTATCTTCGCAGCTATACTTTTGAAAATTTTTCACTTAAGTACCAAATGGTTAACATTCTCAGTTCATCTCGATGTATTATAAGATTGTACTTATGATTTATGAGTTTTATGATAGTACTTATAAGGATTATCTCCACAGCTATATTTTCGGAAATTTCCCATTGAAGTACCAAATGGTTGACATTCTCAGTTTATAAAGATAGAAAAAAGAGGTTTGCAACTTAATTTAAAATGATTTCGACTGTTTTTGATTTCCTCGTTTTTATTATCAAAATTACTTTCCTTGTTTATTTGTAACTTTATACAAAACTAGGCAGAATTTACAAAGAAAGAAAAAAGGGACAATTAGGAATCTTTAAAAAAAGAACTTGAAGAAAAAATATTTTTTTTCCCTGAAATAAGCGCATCAAAATATTTGAATTTGTCATTGTCGTTCAAAAGCCTATCCGTAACGGATCTGCTGAGTTCGAGGCCATATAATTTTGAATCCTACCCAGAAAACAAAGGAACTTCTAGATGAAGCATTGAAACAATTTCGTCTTCGTATAGTGGTCTTTGATAAAAACTAAACTAACTCAAAATTGCGGTACCTAAATTAATAAACCACAAAACATTTTCTACTATAAACCTAGTGCCAATATCATGTCTTATAACGAGCGTTGAACAGCTGACCCAATTCCGAGTTAATGATTATCACCATTTAATTCCATCACCTCGTTATTTTGACCCCAATCCAGACGTAAAAGAAACTCCTGGATCAATATTGGGACAAAATAACCTTCATGGAGAATTTTTTGATAGAACTAACCCGCTTTTGCGTTACATGGAGAAGAAATCCGCGAAAACTACCTACATTTAGTCCGGTGGCAAGGGATACTAACCCATGATACGTCTACTACTAAGGATATTTTCGTGTCAACAAAGCTAAGTTTTTATGTAAACCAAAATTCAACCTAAACTTTATTTTAAAAAAATGGCATGCTGGTTGAAAAAACTTTTTAATTGCCTAAGTTCAGTCATATTCTAATATTGAAATGTAAATTTTTCGAAAAAAGCACCATACGCAATGTTCTGTATACGCCGCCTTTAATATATTTTAGAATCGTTATCAAAAATGAGACAGAAAAATTATACCATAGTGGATCGCAATTTAAAATTTAAGTGTGAAAAATAACAAAAACCGAAGCAAAATAAGACGTATTACAGTAAAAGAAGGCGCATGTAATAAACTTCAAAGTCGATTTAATTTCAGGTTCTAATGACCGTCTTTCATATCATCTGTCTTTTCCTCCAATCAAAACAGTCTTGTTCTTAATTAAATCGATTAATTACCCTTCTGCACAGCGATTCATCAAATTTTAAAATCATATATATTATTTTCTCCTTTAAAATAATATTTTACTACCCCCAAGGTTGTTTTTTTTTTTTTTTGATTTTTTGATCAGAATTCCAAAAACACATATTAGGGGCGGTCTCTAAAGAATACTTTTTATATCCATTCTTAATTAATTTTGTCAGAAGAAAAAACATACCAGAAAAAAACAGTTGCGAAATTGACAACAATACGGGACACAGCCCTTACAATTTTTAATTTGTTCGAAAAATTTATTTCCTCAACCCAAATGAAAGAAACTTGCGAGGAAGAAATCTATTAGCGTCAAAACTTTCTCTTGAGCCGCGATAATACAAAACGGTCCGACGCTTTATATATGAATTGCTTCACTCAAAATTAAAAGTCAATGGCACAGAAGGGCAATTTCAATACTCCAAAATGTTTTATTGCAAAGTATCTTTCAGATTCAAAGATTCTACTTTGAATGTCAGGGTGCATAATGCGAAGAAATCAATAACATTTGCTTGTTTTTCTATTATGAATTTCCCCCCTTATGCAGGCTGAATATTATCTCTGATATTCAGCAAAGTCTAAGCAAACTTGAACCTTTCAGTCAAGTTGCCTGAAAATTGCAGGCATGCAAAAATGCTGATTTCTTTGAAATGGCATTTCCATTTCTGGAGTCATTTGGTAAAGCAGGAAAAAGCCCTATCCTGGATTTGAATTCCAAATGTTAACCTGGAAAGCGAAATGCCTCTGGAAACAGATGGGCAATATGGCAGCTTTTTTTTTCATAGGTTAGCTTGAGCCAAGCATTCGAAAGGGTCTCGCTGATTATATTCCTTCTTTTTCTTTCTTTTCTTTTTGAAGGAAACTCATTTGAAGACGGAAATGATTAGTCATCCATTAGAATGAAAGCATGGTATTAATAAACTTGTCTTGTTCTTCTTTGATCTTCTTAAGAAAAAAGAAAAAAAAACTCGTAGAAAAAGTCTTTTGTTTTATGTTCTTTTTTTCTTTCTAAATAAAACACGAGGGGTTTTTTGACATTGAGATATTTCGCCCAAGGAGATTAGGCTATGGAGTGGTTAATGTTTCGTTTAAACTTTTGAGATGAATTTCAACAAAAGAGTAGGGTTGAATTTTTTTTTTTTGTGAAAAAAGATTAGATTAGGGGAAAGGAAAAATGTGAAAACGTTTTAAAATTCATAAGTTATACCTTTTTTTTCTGTTGAAGTAGGTTTTATGTTTAAAATACTTTTACTAGTTAATGTATTTGGAAACAAAATTCCAGATTTTTAAATTTATAAAATTATGAATATTTTTAAATTTGTATTTATCATAAATTACTGTAATTAAGTTGGACCAAAATTGCTCGTTTTTAACCTCTTTTTGGGATGAACCCACTCTAAGAAAACATTAATAAACATGCATCTTTGTTGACGTTTTTCGACAAATTCATTACAAGTTAATGAAATATTTTACGGTTTTTATTTAAGTTGTTTAGATAAGAATTCTTTGTATTTCTATTGAAAAAAAAACTTTTTGTTGAATGTAAACGTTCAACAAACCCTTTGACGTTTAATTTTTAAACATATTTTTAGTACTGTTTTTCTTATTTTATATTAAGTTAGATCAAATTAAATGAAAGATATTGCATTTACGATTTTAATTATTTATGGTTATGGAATTCCACAGGAAACACCGATTTCTTTTTTTCATTTAAAGGTAAAATCTTCCCAACACGGCTCACTTCCAAACAATAATTCTTCAATTTTGCAGTTATTTAGATTTAAGACAAATATTTATTCTTCTTTGGATTTTTTTAATTAATAAAAACAATTATATATAAATTTTTGAATATGAATGAAAATAAATTCAAACTATTTTTTTTTCAATTTTATATTTTAGTACAAAAATAATTTCGATAATCTAACAGATTATTTTAGTAACTATTATATTGCTTCTTATAATTCAAAAAAATATCAAAATATATTTTTACTTGCAATTAGAGCACCAGAAAAAACATATATATAAAAGGGTGTTTCCCATTTGCGTCAAAGATTCACATACCTCTAATGGACATATAAAAGAATATTTATTTTATGAAACTACATAATTTAATCTTTTGTGAAAAAAATGCTATTTTTGAGTTAGAAACAATTTTGATTGAATAATTTGAAAATAAACTTGTAATTTAAGCTCTTTTGATTATTTTCCACCTTTGCTTCTGTAACTTATGATTAAAGATGATGATATATCAAGGTTAATTTGAAAACTGGATTTTTTTTCTTGATCAGGATTTTTCATTTTTTTATAATAGTGCCTGGGTAATTATTTTCGGCAATTAGTAATCATTGTGCTAGTTGCTTATCTTAAAGCATGAGATCCAGTTGCACTTGTAAACTAAGGGTACACAAGTTTAAAAAATTTAAATGTATAGTTCTTTTTCTTAATTTATTTCTTTTTAAAGTATTGTTGAAAAGTTAAGAGAAAAAGATCAAAGTTAAAGAGATCAGTGTCGTTTTAATTAGAAAATTTTGACAAAATAATTTCTTTACATAATATTCTGATAATGAAAATAGAAAACTAACGCGTCATATATTGCAATCCATCACGAATATATATTTTCAATAAAGCAAGCAACAATCAAAAATATCTTAATTGCATTCCCATCGATTCAATATCCCCTAGCCCCGTTATTGCCATAAATCAGGCAACAAAACTTTTTGTATTTGCTTATACTTTAATAGATTTTTAATAATAATAGACTATTTTATTGCTTGGAAAACAATAGCGATGATTTAATAGTACAGTGTGTAATTTATGTAATGCTCTATTAAATACCTTAGGAAAGCAAAGACATTAAATTATCTTCGGAACATTTTGTTAGAGATTTACAGAACGATCAACTGATTATTGGAAACTGACTACTAAACTAACTAATCACTTGTTCAATGGCATTCGGTAAAACAGAAAACTCTTTTATACTTTCCCCAAGTACCTTAAAGCACGGAATTAATTCAAAAAGAATGCCATTTTCGATAAATTTCTCATGTTTATTTATTAACGTGACATTAACGTTATAACCGGAAAACTTTTTGATTTACTTAATTTCCAATAGTCCGCTTCTTTTATGAAATACAAAGGCGCGTGAGTATAAGACATAAATAACAAGAACTAGAGCACTCACTTTGTTATTGAGCTTCTCTCATATCCCGCAGTGTGTCGCTGCATGCAGTTTTCCTCACTCAATATCCAGGGAACTTGCATGTCGAAAACACATTTCCTAAAACGAAGAACACAAGTCCCGTTAAAACTCGTATTTCGTTTAGAATTGGTAGAAAGTCTTAACGAAGTACTTAACAAACATGCCAGCAACTACAGATGTAAATAACTCACAAATAGATTTAGGTAGTAAAGTCAAAAGAAAACTCTGACGACATAGTTTTAACGAACAACTCCTTTTATTCGAACTTTTTCTTTTTCCCTTTCTTTATGGCCACATAGGGAAGATTATTGCTTTTACAAATGCTTTCTTCCCACAAGCTTTCCTTTTTTTTTTTTTTTCCTTTTTCCGGGAACCACATTTCCATGGTTCAGATCGGTGTTTACGGTAAACTTCAGCAACTGCTTGTATTGGTTAACAGTTTATTTATAAACTTCGCTCTCATACGGAGCATAAAATATGAAAAAAGGGAGGCCCCTTGCAATGATACTAGACGGAGCAATAACGATACATCAAACGTGTCGGCAGTTTAAGAGGTGTAGTACTTAAATCCACAAGAGTGCACTTTTTTTTGTTCGATGCAGGGTTGTTTAATGTTTTTCCTTTTCTAAAAACTGAAGAACACTTATATATGCATTTTTTAACATGAAACATATGCATTTTTTATGTAAGGTAGAATGATTGGGTGTTTTTTCCAGCAACAAAGGAAAAGGAATGTACGAAGATATTGAACGAAAAATAAATATATTACACTCATGAAAATAAATTTCATTCATAAAAATAAAGTTTTCATTCTATTTTAAAACCCATTATTGAAAACAGTAGCCAGCTTGAATTATCAAATCATGAATAATATTTTACTCTTATTAAATATAGAAGCAAGAATGTGTAGCGACATGAGGATATTAAATGATAAATATATTTCATTCATAAAAATGTAGTTTTTAATAAATTCTAAATGCTATTATCAAATACATTATTCAGCTTTGGTGTAATTTTATGCAACATGAAGTAATATTTGACCTTACTAAGCATAAAAACATATAGCTAAATATATAGCAATCTAAAGAAACATAACTATAATAATCAAGTATATTTTACTCATAATAATAAAGATTTTATTACATAATAACGACAAGGATAGTATTCAACTTTATTGCAATTACTTATACCATAAGGTAATTTTTTCCGCTATTAAATAAAGAAACAAGAATATATAGAGATCCAAAAGAATAATATGTGAGGATACTAATTTAAAAATATATTTCCTTTTTAAAAAATATAGCTTTTAATAAATTTTAAATTCTATTATTAAATACAGTATTCAACTTTAGTGTAATTGCATGTAAAATGAGGTACTTTTTACGGTAACTAAGCAAAGATATATAACAATTTAACGAATATATGAGTATACTGAATGATAAATAAATATATTTTATGCTTGAAAATAAGACTTTTATTGCATTCTAACAGTTATTCTCAAGTACAGTATTCAACTTCATTGTAATCACAAATACCATGAAATATTTTTTCCGTTACTAAATAGAGAAGCAAGAATAAATAGTGATCCTAAGGGACAATATATGCGGATATATCTACAATAAATCTATAGTAAATAAATACATATTTTACATTTTTATATTATGCACTATTTATGTTTATTACTTTATTCAATTTCAAGGATAGTATCTAACTTTACTATAATTACACGTAAGGCAATTTTTACTATTAATAAACATAGTGAACATACAGGGAAGTAATAGGAAATTTACCACTAACTAGATCAATGAAGAATTTAATTGCAAAAGAGGTGATAACGCGTATGCAGGTAAGCGTAACAAAAATAGCGAGTAACAAAAGCAATTCGTACTCAATGTAATGAAATTAAAAAGTGCCATGCATTAAGCTTTAGCAAATGCATACGTTTCACGTATAACTGTAAATGCTCAACTTTGTAACATTCAATATCACCTACTAGATAACAAAATTGCTAAATCAAGTTCAGGATGACTTTTTAAATAAATGTTTAAGTTTTGATTTTCTCGAAAGATAATAGAACTCGATCCTAGGATCGTTCAGGATTCTTAGGGCTTCCAGTGTCTCCACCATGGTTTAATAAAAAATTGTAAACAAGCATCAAATACATGATCAGCATTTATTAAAACAAAACAGTCACTTTTTATTGTTTCGCAAAACCCTTTTCGAAATATTTACAAATTTATTTACTTATATTTTAATTTATCTAGATTTTTCTAAAATACAAATTAAAAAATTTGAATGAAATCAGAAAATAGTTTATTCCTAAGAAAAATTTTCAGAATTTACTGAAAGAAAGACTCAGATATTTTTTTAAGTTTTGAAATTATATATAAACAAGCTTGTTTCGGAAACTAATGCGAACCTTACTGCTAACGGAATGTATAAGTAAAGATCGCTATAATTATGCAAAATATGTAAATAAAATTGATGTGAATAAAGCATAATAAATCAACTGTATGACATGTCATAAATAAACAACTCATGATTAATTACCAATAATTATTTAATGAATCTCATCAAATTTCATTCATCTTAGATTTGACTGATACATAATTAACTAAGCTACGGAACAGGTTACGTAGTAAGCTAAAGGCAATAATTAAGAGTAGATGGAAATAAAACATCTAGATTTATCGCCTTGACAAAAACAGAATCACACTACGTAAATAAAATTATACTGTAATTGCGAATCTCGTAAATTTTTAGCACTGCCAAACTGTCAAAACAACATGAATATGAATTATAATGAAAATTAAGTCAATAAAAATGACGTCGGAAAAGTTGTTCTAACTTTAATGTTGCAAAAATTTAATGAAAATTTATGCTAATGTTAAAGTTAATTAATTGGATTTTTGTGTATGAAGGATTTACTATTCATGTTTGTCAGCATAGCATAAATTATAAATTCTTAAATCTTAATAATATCTGCTTTATTCACTTAATCGATGTTAAAACACGGCGAATAAAATGCTGGTAAAATTACCGTAGGGTGATGACATTTCTGGTAAAAAAAAATCATAATTCAGGTAATAAAACCTACAAAAATTCGTTATTTAAATCTTAAACTTTGTAATTTTTCCATTCATATTGTAACAATTTATCAGAAATTTTAATTTTTAAAATGGTTTTTAAGCTATGATCTAAGATAAGATGTTAAATACCAAATTTTGAAACATTTACTAAATTTTATCATACATTATAAGAACCAAATTTTATTGTAAATTTGTTAAATTTTCTAAAATCATTACCTACGGGCTTCGATAAAATTCGATAAAAATTATCTTGTTTTATGGTGTTCCCATAGAATAAGAAATATAGTAAATTTAGTAGTATTAATACAGTAAATAAAGTAGCATTGTAATTTAATTAACTGGTAGTTCTGACCCTGTTTTTTTTAGTGTTGGTTATAAGAAAACCTAAAGTGACAATATGGTTTTAAAATTTAAAACGATTTTTTTCTATAATTTATAAGAGTTAGGAGAAGCATAGTGATAGACCAAGCATTTTCTAAAGGTAATATTTCAAAAACAAACTCTACATTAGTACTTTTTCCAGATAAATACTTCACAGACTTATGAAATTACCATCAAATAAGATCACAATACACAGGAACATAATATTTCGAACAAAGTGTTTATCGTGCATAGTGTTTTCACCCAAAATTCAGTGCTAAATAATTTGAAAATGTGGCTGGCCGTTATATCAGCCATTATATGTCCAATTTTAATCTTTTTAAGTGTAAAGTAAGCACTTGCTTTGATCATGTACGTTAAAATATCATGCAATATTTATGAATTTGAATTTAATATAATACGAAAATTATTATAACAAACTTATGCAGCGAGACTTTGGATTGTGCAGAGAATAATAATAAAGCAATTTTATTTTCATAGCTCATTTTTTCTTCGAGTTTGTATTATCGTTTTATATATAATAATCCGCCAATACAGAATTTAATTATTTATCATTAGTACACGAAAAAGCCAACACTATTTTAACTTTTATTAAGTTTTAGAATAATTTCATGCATGAAGGTTAACAATAGTGTTTAATTAATAATATAAAAGAAGAAGAAAGAAGTAAAATCATAAGGGTACAACAAGGTTGCAAAACCCATATTTATCAGAACATAAACTTTCTGTGAAGAATTGATTTTATGTTAAAACTGACACTCTCTAAAACTAGACTATTCTACATATGTTATTCATTATGCTACATAATTAAAATTAGCGATTTATAATTTTGATGCAGAGTTATGTCAAAATTTCGTCTACTCGCGTTTAGGGCAGTGGTAGCCCAGTCGATAAAGAATCGGACTCCGTTCCGGAGGGCCGGGGTTCGATCATCGACTCCGGTAAGACCTACCGAGTACATGCGATATAGGTGCTTGAATCTGTGGAATCGAAAGTCTTGGAGATATTCGCCTTAAAAAATGTTAATAAATAACAAATATATATTTTACTGTTAATGGGCACAGAGATCTGGAGAAAATTTCCTTCCCCTTCAGATCTATGTATAAGTTGAGAAAGTGGCCTCACAAATGAGATCCCCTCTGCAGAGGATCAAAATTGCGATGTCTTCGGATCATCCACAGGTCTGTTTCCCAAACCGTCACTAATAGCTCACTGTGCAGCTCTAGTGCGACGTAAATAAAGTGCCTACCTATCTATCTATTCACGTTATAAACCTATTATAAAATAATAAATATATATTTTATTGTTTGTAATATATTTTATTGTTTGTAATATATTTTATTGTTTGTAATATATTTTATCTTATTTGTATTTCATCTTATTTATATTTTATACTACTTAAAATTTATATTATTTAAATTTTACCTAATTTATATTTTATCTAATTTATATTTCATCTAATTTATATTTCATCTAATTTATATTTCATCGAATTTATATTTTATATTATTTATACTTCATCTTATTTATATTTTATCTTTTTTATATTTCATCTTATTTATATTTTATCATTTTAATGTTTTATAGTATTAATATTTTATGATATTA